TAAACCAATCGCCAACCAACAAATATGCAGGAGAAAGTGGAGATGGATGGATTGGACACTCGCTCACCGAGGAGGCCGCTGGGTGACATGGCGCGCGCGTCATGCCATTGCTCGAGTGGAACCAGACCGAAAGGGAAGCGGCGAGTAGGACTTCAGTGCAAGGGTGACATGGAGGAGATCGTGTGAAGTGGAGTTGAAAGAGTATGGACTAACATGGATGCAGGTGAAAAGTATAGTAGAAGACAGAAGGAAGTGAAGACGTGCAGCAGTTGAAGACCTATGTTCCACTAGGAACCCAAGGGAACAATAATAATAATATAAAGAGACGTCCATCGGAAAAAAACATCTAATAGCGGAGAGATAGAGTTGACGTGAGAAATGGCGAATGAACCTGTGTTGTGGGGCGGGGGGAGGGGACATGATAAGAAAACGAAGAAACGAAATACGAAAGGCGGAAGTAACACAAACAATGATTTTAATATAAGGCGCTCATACTTTCCCCATGTATGCATGTGTGTATGTGTGTGTATATCAGATCCCACATAAACATCCCATTATCAAGTCTGTTGTCTTCTACTGTTAGATTAGTACTCGAAATACCACTTCAAGTATGACGAATACACCGGGGTCGAACTCGATTGTAAAGCAATTTTTAAAATGGTTCTTGGGTTAACATCATGAACTCTATTCTTAAATATAAAATACCACAAAGGTAGGTAGGTACTCACAAGAAATAGATATATAACAGTATAAATATTTACAAATCAGTATACTAACCTTCTTTCTCGCTGTCATATATGCGTATGAGTTCGATCTCCGGCTTACTTCATAGGGAGTGCCAAACAAAGCAGAATTAAACAGCTATCTAGCACACTCGAGCTTTCAATTATATATAAATCTCTAACTGATTTCGACTGATGATCAAATTTTGAAATAAGTCAATTTCTTTTTTTAAAAATTTGATTTTGGTTCTCATTTTCCATAGAGCTGTGACTACTCCTGTGGCAAAGAAAAGACGACGCTCATCAATTGTACCTCGTTCACTTCGTAGAGTGAAGAAAACTACAGGAACAATGTCTACTAAATCTGCTGAAATGAATTAAATCGCTCCAGCTTCGAGAATATAGTGAGTAGAAAGTTTTCTCCAATGAGTTGTATATCAATTTTTCACCCCTGTATGGGTGTATATCTGTTTATATACGTTAATCGTTCAGTAGTAGCAGATTACTCGTCACCACCACTCAGACGGTCTTGGGTTCGATTACTAGTCACCATCAGATGGGCACTCTTAAACCTTGTCTAGCTTTTGGGAGTAAACTAGGAAAAGAGCGAAGTTTAGGCGTGAGGGTGGCCAGCCCTCCACCCTTCTTTTCGAAAACGTCTTTGCTACTGAAACCACTAAGTCAATCTGCACGAAGAATGTTCTTTTCAGTAATTTCTCTTCAGGTTCTTACAATTATGAAATATAATATTTGTGGTCGTTACAATAACGATAGCCAGTTATGCGGCGGATACATTTTTAACCTAGAATAACAGATTAACAGTTATGGGGTGTCAAAATAAGTAGTCGTATTTGTGTGACAAACGTGCTAGGCTAAAATCGATTAGAAAATATTGTAAAACGGGAGACAATGGTGGTGATTAATCATAATAGATTTGTAGAGTGTGGGGTAGGGAAATTGACAAATCAGTTCAGTGTTATCGAAGGTGACAGGTGAGTGGCTAGTACAAAGTGGTCTGTCTTAAACAGGGGGTAGTAAGACTGCAATGAGAGGTTCATAATGAGATAACGAATATGTTAAATGAAACAGGTGGAGGCACATATTAGGAAAACAGATAATATCACTAATAACACCACATAACGCATATATGACAGCGAGAAAGAAGGTTAGTATACTGATTTGTAAATATTTATACTGTTATATATCTATTTCTTGTGAGTACCTACCTACCTTTGTGGTATTTTATATTTAAGAATAGAGTTCATGATGTTAACCCAAGAACCATTTTAAAAATTGCTTTACAATCGAGTTCGACCCCGGTGTATTCGTCATACTTGAAGTGGTATTTCGAGTACTAATCTAACAGTAGAAGACAACAGACTTGATAATGGGATGTTTATGTGGGATCTGATATACACACACATACACACATGCATACATGGGGAAAGTATGAGCGCCTTATATTAAAATCATTGTTTGTGTTACTTCCGCCTTTCGTATTTCGTTTCTTCGTTTTCTTATCATGTCCCCTCCCCCCGCCCCACAACACAGGTTCATTCGCCATTTCTCACGTCAACTCTATCTCTCCGCTATTAGATGTTTTTTTCCGATGGACGTCTCTTTATATTATTATTATTGTTCCCTTGGGTTCCTAGTGGAACATAGGTCTTCAACTGCTGCACGTCTTCACTTCCTTCTGTCTTCTACTATACTTTTCACCTGCATCCATGTTAGTCCATACTCTTTCAACTCCACTTCACACGATCTCCTCCATGTCACCCTTGCACTGAAGTCCTACTCGCCGCTTCCCTTTCGGTCTGGTTCCACTCGAGCAATGGCATGACGCGCGCGCCATGTCACCCAGCGGCCTCCTCGGTGAGCGAGTGTCCAATCCATCCATCTCCACTTTCTCCTGCATATTTGTTGGTTGGCGATTGGTTTATTCTTGTTTTGTTTGTTCCCATAGTTTCCCATGGTTGGTGATTCTTTCCAGCCCGGTCATATTCGAACCATTATGATCACCAATTGTGTCCAGGAGAATTGTTTTGGATCGTTAAAGGCCTCAAATGAAGGTTAAAGATTAAGTAAGATCAACTTTTACATAGTTTTTAGAAAAGGAGAGGTAACAGCAACAAGTCTAGATTTAAAACATGTTCTAGTAGATGACTTAAGTATAGGTACAATTTTATTGTTCTTCCAAACGGCTGGCAGGACATTTCTGGAAAAAGATTCATTAAATATGTCACTGAGAGGATAACAAAGGATATCTACACATTTTTTAAGAATAACACTAGGCACACCATCTGGAGTTAAGCTACAAGAAAGGTTCAGCGACTGGAGACATTTTAGAACATCATTTGTATTAAAACCAGGGAAGTAGGTTTCATTAACTCTTGTAACAGTAGAAAGTTTGGCATTTGTGGGAGAATGTGTGAAAGACTTGTTTAGTGTATACACATCAAATGAATAAGGAATACTATTCATTTGCTTACCACTAGTAATTTCTTTGAAAAGTTTCCATATATGAAAAGCATTTTTACAAGATATAAACTTCTGGTTATAAACAGAATTCAACCTGTACATAAGGCAGCAGCGGTGCATCAAGTTTAGACACAGACGTACATTCCAATTTGTAAAATAAGTATACTCCCAAACTTCCGTACATAACAAATAATAGACAATACACAGTGAGTAGTCAGAGGACTAATCTAGTCAAACCAGGCACCCGATAGTTCAATGAAATGTTCGCCAACCACACAAACAGACGGTACGGATTCGACTCCCACCTCAAACACACTCCTAAACCTCGTCTATAATTAATTAACTAGCCAATGGTAAGGCCAGAATAAAGAGAGAAGGTTGACAGTAAGGCTACCACCTATCCCAACCTTAACACAGACACACTGTTGGGATATCTAGCAGAAAATAAAACCTTTTTTAAAAAAAGAACAAAGTTAAAACAAAACTATGAAGAGATGATTATTACCTTTGAGAGGAAAGCGAGTTGACAGCCTGACATTTATTAATCTCCAGTTTGTTAGAAATTTTTGGTGTATCCTTGTCCACTGAATTGGATGCTGTTTGAAGCCATTGTATTGTGCCATTAAAGGATTTGCTGACACTACTTCTTGAAGAAGAAGAAGAAGAAGAGACATCATTCATGTCAGGCGATAAAGTGACTGAATGCTTTCGACTTGATGACAGAGTAACTGAAGGTTTCGATTTTGGCGATATCTGACAGCCTATAGATCGTTGTGTACACGGTGAAGAAGGTGTACACTTTGACAGATGAGCAGACAACTGTTCTTCAAGAGCAGTGATCTTTACCAACTGAAGTAAAAACGAAAACAAAAATGTCGATATTACTAATGATAATAATAATGATAATAGCGAAGACGATAGTTGTATCAGACAGAGGAATAGGTATATCCTGCAACTGTAGGGAGGACTTTCGTCTACAAGTATGAAGTTCGGCGTCATTTTCCTGCAACTTGGCTATATTGTCTAAGCTAATGTCTATCGAAGATATAAGCTGATTAACATCACATCGAGACAAAGAATCGACTATGACATTGGTATCTCCTTTGATAAACTGGATGTCTGTTGAGAATTGTGATATGTAATCCAGTTGTCTGGCTTCTCTCGGAGTGTCTGTCCAACGAAGTGGTAAAAGCATAACAAAGAGGCTTATGGTCGGTTAAGATAGTAAAATGTCGACCTTGTACTAAGAAGCTGAAATGTTTCACTGCTAGATAGATAGCTAACAGTTCTCTGCTAAAAGTGCTGTAACGAGTTTGCGCAGGTTCCAACTTCTTGGAGAAGAAAGCAAGTGGAGGGATGTCATTGTTGAACTTCTGTTGTAAAACTGCTCCCACAGCTACCTGCGATTCGTCTGTACATAGGATGAGTGAGGCTTCTGGGTTGATGTGAGACAACATTACAACGTTGGATAAAGCATCTTTTGCATTATTAAATGCTGCTTTTGCTTCTTCAGACCACTGAAATTTCTTCGGATCGCATCTAAGTAGGTCGGTCAGTGGCTGAGCTATGGAGGCACACGATGGAATAAAACGTCGATAGGAACTGAACATCCCGAGAAAACGTCTAAGTTTCTTTACGGAATCTGGTTCGGGAAAGTTCTTAATAGTTTCTACCTTTTTCTCCTTAGTTCTAATACCATTGGCGGTTATGCGGTGTCCCAGAAACTGTATAGAGGAGACACCGAATATGCACTTTTGGGGTTAATGACGACTCCATATCGGTCAAATCGCTGAAATTAGATGGTGAGCTGATCACTATGTTCTTCAGGCGACGAGCTAGCAATTAAAACGTCATCGATGTATACAAATACAAAGTCCAAACCTTGTGTGACCTGATCCATGAAGCGTTGGAAGGATTGTGAGGCGTTCTTTAGACCAAATGGCACGCGCAGAGATTCGAACAAACCGAAAGGTGTGATGATGGCCGTTTTTCGATATCCTCTGTGGCAACTGGTATTTGGTGATAGGCCCTGATCAAGTCTACTTTAGAAAAAATGGTTTTTCCATGTAATGTCAGGGAGAAATCATGAAGGTGGGGAATCGGGTAACGGTCCGGAACTGTGACATTGTTTAAATGTCGATAATCCCCACATGGCATTCAATCATGATCAGCTTTGGGCACCATGTGTAAGGGTGAAGACCAAGGACTATTGGAGGGTCTAATGATGCCGAGCTGCATCATGTGCTTGAATTCTGCCTTAGCGGCTGCTATTTTGTCCGGGGGTAATCTACGAGGACGAGCAAGAACCGGTTGACCCGTGGTAACAACCTTGTGAGTGACTGTATGAGGGACGTCCTCGATGTTACACGACGGTTTAAGTATTTTAGGGAAACGATGGAGTAGGGCGGAAAAAATGTAATCCGCTGGTCTTTCGATGTTGATATTATAGACAGAATAATCGGAGATAATTCCATGGATCTTTAGTTGGGTGTTGTTATCAATCAGTTTTTTATTGTTGACATCAACTGACAGATTGAAATTACTTAAGAAATCAGCCCCGAGTATGGCATGACCGATGTCGGCTACTATGAAATTCCATGTAAAACGTCGATGTAAACCTAGTTCCACTATAAGAGATTGTTCCCCATACGTCTGTGTGCTTTCGTGGTTGGCTGACCCGAGGGACAGTTTTCCTGATGTCCGTGTAGATCGCCTGGATAGTGAAGAGGGGATCACGCTAACTTCTGCTCCAGGAATAGTGTCTGAAGTTTTGTCCTTCACATAGAAAAGGTGACTTGTTTGCTTGCCAGTAACAGCTGTCGCCATCACTGTCTGGCTGAGACGTTTCCCTGAGCCTGATTAGCTTCTTTAAAGATGCACAGTTTTACACATTTCAGGGCATGACGTCCAAACTTCTTGTGATACCAACATATATTTCTGTCCCGAGAAGACGTGTGGGAACGCTGTCGTGAGAGAGATCGGCGTCGTGATGGTGACCTTGCTTGTGAACTCCGTCTCCGGACTCGTCGATCAGACCTATTAGTTTCCAACTTGTCAATCCTTGCCGCTAAGTCTGCACTATCAGATGCTTTGTGACCTATGGTGTTATCAGATAGAACATCCATAATACTATCTGCCATGTAATTTAGTGGGTCTAAGTCATACGACTTTCCTGAGATGATTAAAATTTGCTGGACATTTTAAGGTAAACGATGCAACCACACCTGTTTCAGCACTACCTCGTCTACTTTATGGTGTCCGATTAACTGGCGCATGTACCTGAGGAGCTGGGATGGTTTACGTGGGCCTAGTTCACAGCCTGTGAGTAACTGTTGGATTTTTTTCTCATCTGACAAACTGGTGCGTTGTATAAGGAGGGCTTTAAGTTTTTCAAATTGGTTTTCCGTCGGGGGGTTTTCGATGAAGTCGCTGATTTCTGTCAAAACTGACGGAGGGAGTTCTGCCAGCACTACACCATATTTGGCTATCTGGGACTTAATGCCCCGTGCTTCTAGCAACGGCTCAATTACTGCAAACCAAATCCTGGGTTCTGCGAAACCATACTGCGGTAAACGGAAACCAGTGATGGCATTTATTGTGGCATTTGTCGCGTTACTAGTTGTCTGCTCGGTTGAGGTACCGGACTGAGGTGACGACATTATACGTATGAGAATGTTAGTGCGAAATAGGACACAAATATAAGACCACACACAAAATCGCAATGAATATACAAAATGGCAAAAATAAGTATATAGGTACGTGAAAATAATCCGTGTCCTGAACGGGATCACTAATTTTGTGGTGGACCTTAGAGTCTGTTAGCTTATTATTATTTATTTTTTATTATTGCTCTCTTGGGTTCCTAGTGGAACATAGGTCTTCAACTGCACGTCTCCATTTTCTTCTGTCTTCTGCTATACTTTTCGCCTGCATCCATGTTTATCCATATTCTTTCAACTCCTCCTCACACGATCTCCTCCATGTCACCCTTGGACGTCCCACACGCCGCTTCCCTTTCCGGTTCCACTCGAGGGCTTGGCGCGCGATGTCACCCAGCGGTCTCCTCAGCGAGCGTCCGATCCATCTCCACTTTCTCCTGCATATTTGTTGGGCGATTGGTTCTTGCTTTGTTTGTTCCCATAATTCCTTGTTGGTGATTCTTTCCGGCCATCTGATCTTCAGTATTGAGCGAAGACAGTTGTTAATAAAGGTCTGCAGCCTTTTGGAAATATTCTTTTGACCCGCCAACTTTCTGATCCGTATAGAAGATCTGACTTTACGTTTATATTGAAAATCCGAATTTTGTTGGTGATGCTGAGTGACGAAGATTTCCAGATTGATTTCAGGCTGATGAATGTGTTTCTCGCCTTCCCGATTCTCGCTCGATTTGACATCCTCGTCCGCTCCTCCTGTAGTTGAGACAATGCTCCCTAGATGAGTGAATGCAGTAACCTCTTTCAAATCCCTCCCGTTGGTGGTGATTAACTGTAGTAATTTATTGTACTTGAAGTATTAGTATTTCGATCTGACGGAATTATACGAATGAAACCAAAACTCAGAGAGGGCAGCAATCCGGAATTTTTATTTAGCGGAATTAGAATGCAATTCATATATGAAAATATTAACAATCAACAGTAAGTATTTAAACAATACAAAGATATAATTAGTCAATCACCACATCCGCCACACGTTGAATTTCTCCTTGCGTATTTATAATGATATCGCGGTTTGCTTGCCAGTCTCTGCGATCTTCTAACTGATTCGGTGATATCATTTCCATCAGTATCATCTAGACTTATTTCTGAATTATCTACAAAGTCGGGATTAGTAGCGGAGTCATTATAATCATAATCGGAACGACCTACCTCATTTATTCTTACTTGATCCAAGTGTCTGTTATGAACTGAGTTATCTTCGATGTCTAATATCTTCACCATTCGATTTCCCATTCTTTGTAGTATGATACCAATAGAAGGTCTATAATCATTCCCTCTGTAATAATGTACATCAGAAGTCGTGGACATCAGATGCTTTCTGAGAATTCGGGATTTGAATAGTTTTGCAGGACTTTCACGGGTACTTGTATGCTCCGCATTGCGATATTGAAGTAAGAAGTTATCCACACATCTCTCTAGCTCATCAAAATTTTTAGGACTCATTGATGCTATAGCACTCTTTAATGTTCGTACGAAATTTTCTGCCAACCCGTTTGACTGCGGATGACGTGGTGCTGTGTACAAATGACGACAACCTATATGTTTGAGCCAATCATTGAAGTTCTTCTCCGTAAAATGAGTACCATTGTCAGTAACTAAGACATCTGGAATTCCTTCTCGACTAAATGTCTTTCTCAACGCTCTGTGAGTGAATTTGGCATTAGGACTATCTGTAATGATGACTTCTGGTCATCTAGAATAAGAATCCACAATAACTAAAGCATAATATGAATTTAAGAATGGACCACAGTAATCTGCATGAACACGCTGCCAAACCTCACAAGATGCAGGCCACGGTGTCCACGATGACTTCCCATAGGACATTTTATGTAAACAGCTAGAACAGCTCTTTGATCTTTTGTTAATGTCAGCATCAATTTCCGGCCACCAGCATGTTAGGCGTGCTAATGATTTCATCTTATCAGCTCCTAGATGAGCAGAATGTAGATCGTCCAAAATTGCAGATCTTAATGTTGGAGGAATAATAATTCTGTCATTCAGACATAGAAATCCTTCAGGATGGACTGAAATCTCATCTCTTCGCTTATAAAAGTCCGGAAATCTTCGCTTACACTGAACATTCCAACCTCTTTTTGTTGCATTTATAACACATCCGTAATATTTCCGAGTATCATTTATAAGTCGAACTCGATCCACCGGTAACGGCTGGACTAATAAGCAATCAGTATCATTAGCAACATTTTCAAATAATGAATAACGAGATAAGAAGTCTGCATGAGGTATATCCTTTGCCGATCTATGTTCAATAGTGTAATCATATGCACTTAGTTCTAAACTCCATCTCTGAACCATAGCAGCAGATGATTTATTCAAAGATTTTTCTGGATTGTAAATGAATTTCAAAGCTTGATGATCAGTAACTATGTGAAACTTAGTACCAAAGAGATACTTGTGCAAGCGTCTTATTGCCCATACAACTGCTAAAGCTTCTTTTTGGGTTTGTGAGTACCCTTGTTCACTCTTACTTAGACGTCTTGAAATACAAATAACAGGTTGTCCATTTTGCTCAAGTACTGCAGCTATACCCATAGGAGAAGCATCTGTAGTGAGAACAGACTTATCTTTCGATGAAAAAGGTCTTAAGAAAGCTTGTTTATTAAGAAACTCCAAAGTTTTTCGCAAGATATTCTCATGTTGTTGTTCCCACTTAAACTGTTTACTGGAGACCATCTCAAAAAGTGGAGATAACCGTTGAGTGAAGTTGGGAATGAATCTGGAGTAAAACTGAAGAGTACCTATCCATGATCTCAACGATGACATATTATTAGGTGACGGTGCTTGAATTAGAGGTGCCAAACGACTAGCATCAGGTCTTTCAACTCCTTTCTTTCAACTCCTCCTCACACGATCTCCTCCATGTCACCCTTGGACGTCCCACACGCCGCTTCCCTTTCCGGTTCCACTCGAGGGCTTGGCGCGCGATGTCACCCAGCGGTCTCCTCAGCGAGCGTCCGATCCATCTCCACTTTCTCCTGCATATTTGTTGGGCGATTGGTTCTTGCTTTGTTTGTTCCCATAATTCCTTGTTGGTGATTCTTTCCGGCCATCTGATCTTCAGTATTGAGCGAAGACAGTTGTTAATAAAGGTCTGCAGCCTTTTGGAAGTATTATTTTGACCCATTGATATAAGAATAAAACTTGTGCACTGTGGTAGAGTGTAATTCCATTATGGGTAAATTTTGTTTTTTTATAAAGTCTCACAGTGTTATACAGTAATGTTTACTGATGACGTTTCGAGCACAATTTATTGCTCATAATCATATCAAGGTAATCACACGACTTCCTAAATTCATTTATATAGTTCCATTGTTTTTCTCTTGATTTTCACTTGATTTGATTGGTAATAGTATTTTCCATATATCAGGTATGAGTGACGAGTCATTCCTATTGCATGTGTTGGGTGTAGACTCGATGAACAAGGATTCAGTAATCAACCTCTCTCTCCACCTACCTAGATTACTTTTTAGAATTTTAACCCTCTCCCACCCTATTGTGTGGTTGTGTGTTAGCGCATGCATTGCAATTGCTGAGCTTTTTTCTAAATTATTTATCTTCTCGGGGTCAACCATTCTTACCTTAGCTAAATTTTTATGCTCTGACAATCTGACTACCCCTGACCTACTAGTTCGACCTATGTAGTTGACCTCACAGTCATTGCATGGTATTTTGTAATGAGATAAATGTACTTGAAAAAGGACTAAACTTCAACGTATCAGTTAATAAATTAAAACCAGAGGACGTCATTCCTAACATAGAAGCAGCACTAAACTCAATAGATAAGACTACAGCAGAAGAGGTTCGAGCACAATGTGCATTAACCCTAAAAAATCAAAAGAAAACAAAATCAAACTTAACAAAATCGGAAAGGGAAGCTTTAATTAGTCTTAAACAAGATAAAAACATTGTCATCGCAAAAGCTGACAAAGGAAACGCCACCGTAGTTTTAGATAAATCTGACTACATCAAAAAAGTTACTGAACATATTCAAACGGGTCCATATGGGGAAATTAAGAAGCCTGTAGATACATTAATGAATAAGGTTAAGAAATCTACAGCGGAACTAATACGCAGAATGAAGCCATCACTGGGTGAGTCTAAATGGTTTAATTTAATGCCTAAAACTAATAATGCTAGTAGAATATATGGTACTATAAAAATACATAAGCCAGGTAACCCCATAAGACCAATAGTAGATTTTAGAAATACCCCCACGTATGAATTATCAAAACACTTAGCTCCAATACTATGCCCCATTAGAAATCGTTCAAACTCTAGATTAACTAATTCATATGAGATGAAAAATAAACTAAATGACATTCAACTAGCGAATGATGAAACAAT